AAGCTACAACTGATGACAATCTATGAATATTACCATCTAATGATTAAACTCATTTTCATCAAGCATAATAAAATCATTTATGTTATAGATTGATATAAGAAATTAATATAGACTACTATCTAATGTATTTTGAAGTATATCACGTAGAGAGAGTAAACAGGAGTATAGGTAAATACTCAATATCTTAAATTGCATCCCTCAATATAGAACGTCAAATAAAGCTTAACAACGACGAATACGTATATTCTTGCTAACAGATACCAATAAAATGTCTAGAAAATGTAAGTTCAAATATTCAATTTCATGTTGCACTTATATGCTAACTTATCATAATGAAATAAAATTGGAATCTACTTCTATAAGGCACACATACATACATACATGCATACTCACTTGACATCAAAACAATACAATTTCATCTTTACTTTCTCTTTCATTCTAAGCGTTGTTTCTCTCCAAATATTTTAACCATTTTCTTTCATTTCATCGAAAAAAACTTACTCCTAAAATCATTTCCAATCATAATAAATCATTTTCAAATTAATCTATTCACTTGAGAATAGGTGTAACTTTTTTTTCAGATCAGTATCTTCTACAAAATTTATAAAGTGATTTTTAGAGAAGAAGAATAGCATGAGATTTGTCTAATGAAAAAAAAGGATGTTATAGGGGAACGATGAGTGAGGTCGATGTGAAATGTGTTTGATTTTAGATGTTGTTAATTATTTCATATGTGTTGATATGCTTTTATATGAGATTGAATTCATAACTTTCATAATTCACAACTAACACAACACATGGAAACGACTGATTCGGAGTTCAATGCTGTTATTCCAGAACCTTGATTAATTTGCAATATAATCGGACGATCACTCAATGTTATTTATGACGTGCCTGATTATTAACATGATTAAATTCCTGTTTCGCGCGCTAGACCGAAGGCCTTGACTTTGTGTTCCGAGTGTGTGATCGTGGTCGTGCAATGCTGAAGAGTCTCGTACTATGACGAAATGGCTGCCCAATACTTTCAGGTTTTCAACGGTGGTATAGCTTAGATTTCAACTGTGAAGATACTACAATCTCTACAATTCCCCATAAATTTCAGTTATTACCGGTTACTTTTATAAATTTTCTCATACACACTCAACACTTACATACACCAATTAATTTGCAGATATTCATTTATAATAAACGGAACACATTCATTAAGACATCAAAAAAGAAAGATTAGTTCAGCGAAAAGTTCCATTTTCAGCGAATTCATCTTCAAAGCTGTACAATCGAAAATATATACATATAATTATTTTACAGGATGATAATAATACTGATAATAAACTTCTGTTAGGTATGGTGACTGTGAGGTTAAATAAACGAAGTTATTAAAAATTTTTTTTAAAACAAGGAAAGTTTAGTAAGCGTTTGATTGTTAATGGCTTAAGTATTTATCAAATGGTACAACCTCTTCTTTTACCATGATCTTAATGTCTTATAATTTTTTTTCTTCCTTTGTTCATGCTCTTCTTCATTTACAGTCATCTGCTCCACCTTCCATCTTCCCCTTAAATATCCTACCCCCGACTGATTTATTTCTGTTTCTACGACCCTCCTGTTTACATTTAATCTCAATTTCAACATTTAACTTATCATGCTGAGTCATCCTATCCCAACGATAATTTCCCTACCTATCATTTGATGAATACTTAATCCATTAATAATCAAACGATTATTAGTTTTCCTGTTTAAACGTTTTTTACCCAAGACCTTTGTTTGTTCTACCTCACTGTCATCATGTCTAAGAGAAGTTTATTATCAGTATTATTATCGCCCTGTAAAAATAAGTATATATATTTGCGATTGTACAGCTTTGAAAATGAAATCGCTGAAAAGGGAACTCTTCGCTGAACTAATCTTTCTTATTCATTTATAAAACAACTCATGATAAATATATGGAACATAATAAAAGTACCTAATATTCATTTAATAAAATGTATAAGAAAAGATAAACAATTGAATTTCAAGCATATTCAACAAGTTGTAGTGTCGGTATGCCCATATGCCTTATTGTAGCTTTCGGACAGTTCAATCTATTCATTCTACTTGAGTCACATTCTAACCTTTTTAATTACTCTCTCATCAATCTTGACTGTTTTTATATGAGCGCATATGTGTGTGTATATTCCTTATCCTATTCATCACATGTCTGTAACTTATTTTTATGTGCCTATAAATATTGATTAACGCTTGACTAAATGGAGTTGGCTTATTCGACATATCCACTAAGCGTCGTTTCTCTTCTCTCTATTCCATTCACTTCATATAGAAAATATATGTATTCAAAAGTCCATTCTCGTTATTTAACTTATTTAATTCCGTTACTGACTAATGCGATTTAAGTCTATTGCCATTTAACTTCAGGTATTTAGAAGAAGAAGAAGAAGGACAAAAAAACTCTCTTATAAACCTTTCTCTCTCTCTGAAATTGACACTAAGCAAAAATCCTAATGCCATTGTACTATTAAACTTAAATTCATATAAAGAATTGCTTGTTTATGCTACATTCTATATCTATGTAATTCATTTAAATTCATCAATGGATTGTAAGTATAACTTGTGTATTTTTTTCTAACAGGATAGAAAACTCTTCATAAGCAAAAAAAAAACGAGAAAAAAAACAAACAAATAAACGTGAAATTATAATTATAGTGTCATAAAGTAAATAATAATTTTATTCTCATGATTTCTTAAACTTTTTTCTTTTCTTGTTTCTTCGTTGAATCTATCTCAAGGGTAAAATGAACTAGTTTTAGACAAACTCATTTATTACATGTATAAAGTAGAAGTTTAGCACTGTGGAGAAAAATAAAGGGGATGTTTGTTTATGATAGATTTTTATCAGTAAACCTTAGTGATTGCTTTATCTATCCTATAAGAATGTAAAGTAATAGAAACCAGTATGGTAAGTAGTATGGGTATTTCTATTATTTTTTTTTCGTAATGAAGTAATATCGATTTAATAGCACTGATTATTATTGTTAACTTCTTGTATACTGATTTCAAGCAAGTAATTTTATTGCCTATATCAACAACTGATCATAACTAGGCAAAATCTAGTAAGTATTGAACAGTTGTTTTTACCCTAAAACCAATTTCTTTAAAAGTACATGCTTGCCACTTCGCTAGAGTTTAAAACTGGGATTAGTGGTCCTCATGGCGAGCTCATAACTTTAAGCTCATGTTAAATTGTGACTGCGACAACATTGTGTCTCTGTATATTTACCCAGGATTTTTTATTTATCATCTTTCTATACAAACGAACATTAACAAAAGTTTTGGTAAATAAGCTGATGGAACAGTTTTAAAGGTGAATAAATACTTGTCCTGCAAACAAGGAATGCGACTAAATGCTTTCAATAGTAAATATTACACTCTTTGTACATGTATTTATTAGGGAAATCTTCTTTCTGAACTGACCAATTTTCTGAAAAGAAACATCATCCTGCCAACTTACTCTTACACCTGTCATTTAATCAAAACTAATGATATATTTCTTAGGATTTTATAGTATATCAGAAATCCTGGTGGAGATATTTTCAGAATAAACAGAAGTTGACTGTTTTTAAGCGTGTGATTAATTAATAAGTCAAATTATGGGACTAGTTTTTACCATAAACAAATATCACGTGATAAACCACTGGGAATCCAGAGACATTGAAAGTTAAAAAATCGATAGCACCACATGGAATCATCACAATTTTTTGAAAAGTAATTAAAGTTGTGAGGAACTACCATCAGTGAATTTTGTCTCAATGATTAGATGACATAGTGCTCATCATCAAACTGCAAAACCTGCGGACATATTTCATTTGGAGTCCTATACTAGCATCTAAGTAGTAGGAGTTTTAGTAGAATGACGAAGTAATTTACCATTACTACTTCACAATGAATAGCTTTACAAGGATGGTCACTTTCCATTTTGGATTATTTTCAAAGTGTACAATTTTTTTTCTACAAAATCACATTAGTAAATAATTAAAATTCTGCTGTTTGTATGAATACGTTAAGATAAATGAGTCGAAGTTTTTCAATCAACCATTTACTTCTTAAACAAATTAACCTATCAGTTGGTATGTTGTTATTACGAAGGTAAAATTACACTTGTGACCTTATTATTTTGTTGAAATACTTCTTAATAAATGGGTATTTTTTTCATAACACAAAAATGAGTTCATAGTCATTTATTATGTTACTTAGTAGCTATTTCATCCTATATGGAATTGACAGTTTGCATCACTAATTCATCTTCAATGAGCGAGCACAAATTAATTGTCAAACAATCTCTTTCTTCTTACTGATTCATGAAACCCTTTTACAACACACTGTCAACAATTTTGTAAACAGTTATTAAAGACTTATTATTAATCGACAAAAATTCAATTATATATATAGCTTGTCTCACTCTCAACACTGTGGAGTTTCTTGGTCACGATTTCTTACCAAGATTTTAAGACTTAACTCCTGAATTTATTTAGCAGTAAGTAAAGCATGATTCTTTAATAATGTGGATAGATTAGTTTCTTGAATTCCGCAGTATTACATCATGAACAGACATCAGTTAGGTAACTATTGAAAATCAGGAACTATTGTGTAACTATCCTGTAATAATATGATAATCAATAACAGAGTTCATTCGTTTCCCGATATAAGAACAGACACAGAATCCTTAATTGTTCCAAATGTCAAAATACTGAATTGGCATCTAATGGTTTACAATTATGACTTTAGACAATTTATTATATCCTCATTAACCTAACTAATATTAGTTAAACATACACTGATAAAAAATTATCCAGTCAGTCATTAACAACGTAGAACTTCGTACGTACGTACATCAGTTCGAGTTGCCACACCCCATTAGCACAGAGATGCAGTTGTCTATTCAAGTTTCGTAGTCGTAGACGTAGTAAGACTATAAGCAGATAAAAAATTATATAATTACTTACTTCGCGATTAGCTTGAACTGCTATAAATTCTGTAAATATTTGATTTGCTTTAATAGCCAATTTTTTTGGATTAGTAGTATGTTTGTAATCTTGACATGCAATCCAAAATTCAATATTTTCATCACTGAATTCAGTACTGAGAAAATCTTTAAATAAAGCAAGTCCATCTAGAAAAACAAAATTTTTTTTTGAAATGGCAAAATAATAATCAGAAAACTATTTAAAGATCTATATAGTTATATCTTATCTATTATGTAATCAATACAGTATTGATGTTATATTGTGAAATCGATTGAATGACTATCAAACAATTGGCTATCATTAAACCGATATTTCATCTTAATGTAGGACCATTCAACAATCAACTTGTACATTTGTAAATAAGATCAATTTCTGAGTATTCAGCTTTAGAAGCCGTAATGATTTGAAGTGAATTTTTACACTTGGTGAATTTGTAACTAAACCCAATCTTCATGATATGCTATCAGTAGATCACACATTTATTCATTACAGACGATAAACTCCTAGTATGACAGAAAAAAAATCTATCTCATCGTTTATTATTACCATGATCAGCGCTTTAATGAATTGACCTACAATTCGTTAATTCAATATTGCCCAAGGTCTCAAATATATACTGCTAAAGAATTCACAAACATGACAAAACACCTTTACAATTCGTTTTATTTTATCAGTATAGAGTTGTAGAGATTGTTAAGTTCCTATTGAGGTCACCAACCGAACAATGTTAGACCACCATTGAAAACCTAGAAATACTGGACGGCTGATTTGTCCCTGCATAGAACTTCTCAGCAGTGCACGTTCACGATCACGCACGCGGAACTCAAACCCAAAGCCTGCAGTCTCGCACGCAAACGCCTAAGCTCTAGACCGCTGAGCCAGAATTCAACAATGTTAACATCTTAGTTTGCGACTAATGAAGAATGCCCATCCACAACCTATGGGGATAGAATCGAGAACCTTGGGTCTTGCGAGCGAATGTTTAACTTCTAGAACATAGGACTCAAATTCAGTGGTGTATATGTCTAACTTAGGTCGATTCGCGATATTACACAACCATCTTTTATTACCATCACTACTGGAGTTAAACCATATCGTGTGTGAAAAAGTAATCCACCACAGCCAATGAAAGATGATCCCACGATGTCTTGAATTGATAGATGTTAGAAATATACACAATTGTATATGATTTCAGTGCTTTAGAGGTTACGTGTTCTTCTCGACCCTTGAAAGTTCTGGGTTTAATTCCTAATAACATTGTGAATGCGCTCTGCTAAAACGCAAAGCTCTTCAAAGCTTTCTGATTTTTAGTAGTTGTCAAACTAAGATTGAAATTATTTATTCTGGCTAGCGTTTTTTAGCAAGGTTGTTTTCTATGGGATGAGGTTGCTGACCTCATGACCAGCCCTCCTTCTTTACTTGGGGATCGGACCGGCAGAAACTCTAGAAGAGTTGCAAGAGAAGTTCATCAAACTGCATCACGAAGTAACCGCTGATTTGGAATCCTGGAGAGAAACGGTAAAGAGGAAGACTAAAGAATACATTGCGTCGGGAATTGGAAGCAGACATGAAAAGGATGAATAGCAACTGGAAACAACTGGAAAGTATTTTCTAGGACAGAATTGGATAGAGAATGCTAGTGGGTGGCCTAAGTTCCTTGACGAGGCGTAAGTAAGTAAGTAATAAAAGTAAGATAAGTCCGCTATATACAATATAGTGTATTTTCTGTTTGCATCACGTTAATTTTTAATTCAATAAAGTCAATTGTCTGAAGAAAATTGTTTGAAACCAACTTAACGTATTTATGTTTGTTATTATTATTACCATCATTATCAATATCATTGATTATCATTGTAGCTTGTAAACTAATTTTTAATTCCCAATATTTTAACTATCAATCAGTTATATGTTAATCTTTTTATCTCACTTTTAGAAATTCCACTCATATTTAGATGATTTGGGCGAGACTATAATTTATGGACAAATCAATCAGATTTAAGGGACAAGGTCTTGGATTTTGGCGTGAAATGCATTCACTCATTTGGCTAAATATCGTTTTAACGTTATAGCTGATGTCAGTTTGTGATGAAAATATCAAATCTAATTCCTACCCCTAACATTCGACTGCAAATCTTAATCCTAATTTCTCATACTAATCTTCAACCGTCATTTAACCTTAGTAAGTAGGTGGACATTCCAAGGTCATTTTAACGTATATTAAATGCAGTCTGTAAATTATGGTGTTACCGATTATTCTACATGTAACAAGTTTTCATTACGACTCCATAAAGTATAAACATTATTATTATTGTTATTATTATTATTATTATTATTATTATTATTATTATTATTATTATTATTAGTAGTAGTAGTAGTAGTAGTAGTAGTAGTAGTAGTAGTAGTAGTAGTAGTAGTAGTAGTAGTAGTAGTAGTAGTAGTAGTAGTAGTAGTAGTAGTAGTAGTAGTAGAAGTAGAAGTAGAAGTAGTAGTAGAATGAATATTTCTATAACATACCATCAACTCAAACAAATGTAGTCATATTATCTATTTTGACCAGTTTAAAAATGTTTACTTATAATCTATTCGTTAATAAAAGAATGTTGATAACCTGATTACAGGAGTGAAATTAGTTGTAACTAAGTATATAAAATTGATTTTAAGGTGTTTAGGTCATTGAAATCTATTGAATCTCCAAGAATAGAATTATGAAAGAAATTACTTTATCAGAAGCGGTTTGTGGAGATTTTAGAAATTTCACAGATTGAAATCATGAGTCGATTGAAGCTAGACCACCATGGAAAACCTGGAAGCACTGGACGGCCAACTCGTCCTAGTATGGGACTCCTCAGTAGTGCGCATCCACGATCCCGCACCCCCACCCCCAGATTCCGACCCTGGACTTACTAGTCTCGCGCTGTGACCAGTGGAGCTGATCTGTGTCGGGTAGAAACAGGTATCTACCTCAGTACAATGGAAGATGGCTGTGGATTGGTTGAGGTTAGACATTAACACCATTGGATGCCGGCTCAGTGATTTAGTTGGTTAAGCGCCTGGCACGAGACTGATAGGTCCTGGGTTGGAATCTCAGAGGGGGTGCGGGATCGTGGATGTGCATTGCTGAGGAGTCCCACAGTAGGACGAAACGGCCGTCCAGTGCTTCCAGATTTTCCATGGTGGTCTAGATTCAATTGACTCATGATTTCGATCTGTGAAATCACTTTAGTATAAAATAATTAAATGTCGAAGATAAATCATGGTGGGACCTGGCATAAATGTTATTCTACTAAATTAGTTGGCAATACAGGTTTTCAATTCAATATATCACTAAATATTGACTGATTGGTGTTAATTGGTGAAATGAAATGATATTACGAAGTCGAATAGGACATATTTTATTAGAAACTATGTACTTAATTCTAGTGACGTCATCATTTTAAACTTCAAGAGTGATTACCTCATTATTTTGAATCATTCATGATATAAATTCACCAATAATAGATTAATATATCTATTTGCTTGAAATCATGATTCGATTGATGCTAGATTACTATGGAAAACCTGGAAACATTGGAGGACCGTTTCGTCCTATCTGTTTGGATTTATTTTAGTACATCTTAAATAATAGTTTATTAAAATACCTTAAATATATTCAGTAATATATGTAAGGTCTAAATAAATCAAAGATAGCACTTATTTCAAACATTGTAAATAATCTGTACTGAGTAGTGTACTGGTGTTTGAAATAATTCAAGCTACATTTGAGTTTCAATGAATACACTAACAATCCTTAGAATACTATTTCAAAATAAAACGAAACATAAGCCTACAATTTCAAAGCATAAATTGCCTTAAACATACATTTATTACAAAACCATGATTATTCTGAGATGGTGGGGAAGATTCGTAGCTCAGGTGGATGATTTTGACGGAGTTTTGTTCTCTGACCTGGATGGTTTGGTCGTGGAGCTTTCATCATTCTTCTGAACGACATCATCAGCACAAACTTCAGATAGAAGTGAGGCGTTCGAATTTCTTCATATGTGTTTCGTAGCTTGTTCTGTACACCTCCATGTTGATTGGTTCTGACGATGTCGTTCAAAAGAATGATGATAGCTCCAAGAGCAAACCATCCAGCTCAGAGAACAAAACGCCATCAAAATCATGATAATTTTATTTACAAATAATATCATTACTTACATTTATCATTTAATAAAGCTTCAAACGAATGCCCCCAATTATGTATTTGTTCGTAACTTGGTTTACCTGCACGAATCATACGTTTAAGTTCTTTTACTTGTACTAATTTTGCACCAGGTTGTATAGAAGTTTTAGGTCGAAAGAATTGAAAGCCTCTGGAAAACAGAGTAAGTAAGACTTGCATTCAAGAAAAGAATACTTTAAAGAATAAAGGTTTACAAACAACGAAATAAAACGTTTTTACGATAGATGTAAACTAAGAATTTTTAAAAATGTAGCTGGTCACCGAAAACCTCCACTGAGTATGGTACTATTAATGATTGCTTCATACATATGCATTAAGTATCATAATATAAAATATTCAAAATGACGTAAGACAAAGCTACATATGACTAAACCATAACGTGGGATTAGTGTATTAATTCATTAGATGGGTTAGGTCTAAACTATTTGGTTAAGATCCGCTTAATGATATTGATTACTGAGACAATTTAAAATGAGTCGTATTAATAATGTATCCAGTATTTACAGTTCTTTAGATTTTGTATGACTTCATTATTATTCCATAAAACATTCCTTATTATACATTATCTGTTTAATTCATTTGAACATCTATAGTTTGATTCTTTCATTGATTCTTTTGGTACTTCTATTGATGATGAAGCATACCATCTTAAACCAATGAATATTTCACATAAAATCTATTTAGATTATGATCTAGTGACTGATGCTCATCAATCTGGTCCTTAGTAAAGACCTTGTACTCGGCTATACTGAAGTAGATGATATAAATTTACACTTCAGAAGTGACCAATAACTTCCACACAATCCGCATGTTTACACTCGATACTGAATGATAAATATGTTTGATTACTAAAGTAGAAAAAATGAGCTGGTCATCTAACAGCTCATATCAACTGGCAACATACCACTTAATTGAATGTCGATTTTAAATTATTGTGAAGTTTATTTTTAGTCAAATAGAATTCCAGTGATTAGAATTTTAATTTACAATATGGTCTGTGTTTAATGCATCTGTTTATGACCTGGAATTTCCCAGATTTCAGTTATAAGATATCATATCAATAGTTATTTGTAATATTCAGTTAGACTGAAAACAAAGCTGACATTTATTTCAATCAATAAGAACTTAAAAGGCAATTATATTTAGTTTCAATAGTTAAGATCATGAGTCAATTGAAACTAGACCACCATGGAAAATTTAGAAGCAATGGACGGCTATTTCGTCCCACTGTAGGACTCCTCAGTAGTGCGCATCCATGACCCCGCCCCGCGGGACTCGAATCCATGACCTATCAGTCTCGCTCGCGAGTGCTTAACCCCTAGACCACTGAGCCGGCCGGCATCCGATGGTGTTAATGTTTAACTTCAAATAATCCACGAAAATAAACGACACATTTACCACTGTCTATTCCAGACAGAATATACACTTTCTTATGGCTACACTGAATCGAGAAATCAAAGTACAACTTGGTTATTGTGAGTAAACGAAATACTCAAGCAATTAAGGTTATCGTTTGCATATATTTGTCTAGGCCACTATGGCATTTTGTATATAAACATACACTTGATTTAAGTAATTAATCATTTAGTATTTGGAATAAAGCTCCATTCGCTTTCTTAGTCTTCCCAATTTAGGTCAAACATTAAGAATTGTGTATATTATGGCCAAGTCAAACTTCTGGACAGTAACATCATCTTAAAAAAAGTATTACTTCAATTTTAAATTTACAAACCAGTTTCCAAAAATATCATCAACCACTACTATTAGTTACTAAAAACAGTTAAGTCTCAAACTGCAATGTTAATTAAAAGGGATATGAAAAAGATGTTGAAAGTGAACAAATACACATTAGTATTGTTCTTTAATTATTTTGTAAACATTTAACAACAATGAAAAGTAGTTGCTTCAATAAGAAATAAAAACAAATCAGAATAAAATCACTTGGATAAGACAACGTACATTTTATTCTTTTTTCCACCAATACTACCGATTGCAGTACTATGTCTTGGTGAAGTTGACATGAAATCAGATGGTGAAAATGAATTTCTTGATAATCCGTCTGATTTTTCATTTCGATATTGTTGAGATGATGTTGATTTTTTCGACTCATTATCAAACATAGGTAGTCGTTCTAATGATTCATGTATAGATTCTCTTGGTGTTCCTTCATATTTATTAGCTCGTTGTAGTTGACCAACAAATTCCTTTAAAAAAATAAATAAAAGTAACCTGAATATTGAGTCCTTATTTAGTTCATTTTTCAAAGGTTTTAAAACTTTACAGAAACCAAACACAAAGATAAGATGTGAAAAAGGGTTTCACCGGATCTTTAGTTAAAAAGTGAACGTGAAACAACCATTTCATCCATTCTTTGATATCTCATCATCTTTGATCACATCATCTAATGAGACTTTTCCACAAAATTAACCTGCAGTGTCAAATAAACGTGCTGACAGCCACCCACGAATAGAATCAGTAAATGGTTGTACAATATTGTGAATTGATTAAATGTAAACATGTAAGCCATCTGTATGTCAGTTCAATGGTCTAAATGTTACGGACTCACCGCAATACTTAAAGACACTAGGTCCGAACCTCGGTGCTATCATGGAAGCGCACTGCTGAGGAATCCAATAATACAAAAAAATGAATTATCCAGTTGATCCTTATTTCAAATAAATATTGAACTAAGATCAGTTGGTAATGTTACTCATAAAAATCCAACTAACCACTTACATGGTAACAACCAATTGATGCAAAGTTGAAGTTTATAGGAAAATAAGAGTAGTTCCTTCTGTATATAACTCTATAATAACCTTTATTTAATTTCACATTTTATTTATTCATTTGTTGATTTTTCATGAATGAACAAACTCATCCATATCAGTAGTTTACAATGATAGTTCCAATCTGTTATTGAGCGAATACATTTTAGAAATTTACCAATGTTTACAGCTCAATAATAAAACAAATAATTGATAGTTTCTGTAAGTAGCATACGTAAATTATTCTCGCGATAAAATCAATCAGTTGGCATGAAATTATCAATCAGGAAATTTACATAACTACTGTTCTATGTAGAAAAAAGCATACTACACTAATCAGATTAACTATAAATGATGTTCTAAAGTTTGAAGGATTGATCACTTCATTTTATTTAAAAGCTTCTTTGAATAAACATTTCAAGAGATTTCTAATAACTTTTTGTTATCACCGATATCAACTGGTTGATATTCAAAGAACAGGAAGAAGAAGAAGAAGGCAAAAAATAGCAGATAGTGACATATTACAGTTGGACTCAACTATAAAGCAAGTGTAGGACTATTTTGATACCAATTTTGATTTATCAAATTAATTCATTTTTCAAACAATCAAAGAAAGCTCTGAGTTATTCAACGAACTAAAGATTGATCACTGGTGAAAATTTTCTTCACGACGATGTCAATCATTTAAGCTGTATAATCATATTTATATTTGATGTTAACACAGTATGATTTGTGATAAGATAGCCAAGTGTTCTATCATTTAACATAGTTTTGAAAAAAAATTATTAAAAAAGTCCCCAAGTATTAGATAGAAATCAGTAGTCAATAGTCTTGAAGGCAATATTAAAAAATAATAATCATTTATTATACGATTTACTATTCTTGAGTTATGCGCTGTCTATCAATTACTATCTCCCACATTCACAGCCACATTCGGTTGAATCTCGTATAAATTTTGTTTCCTATTTTATGGTACGATGTGGTCTGTTTGATTGGTATATAAACCCAGTATGTTTGAAATAAATGATTCATATCGCAGAGTCTGAGATTGGTGTTCTGGACTTAACAGAAGCAGGACCAATAAGGACTGCTCATACAGGTTTTATACGTCATTGGTCCGATCGATAATTCACTGTTCTCTAATTGGCAATATCATCACGTTAATAAGGACACAGGACATAAGTTATAACAAATTTAAAATCATTAATCTTATTTCCTATCAATGACTAACTGGTGAATCTATTTGAATAAGGTATAACTAATGATGTGACTAACAAATATATACATGACATTTTTGAGATTGTTCATAGTTTCGTAATTAAATATGTTTCTTTTTTCAAAATGTAGACTTAATTCATTGTTTAATGTAACCAATCAAAAATTTACAAAGCAATAACCGATAATATACAGTTCCCTTAGTAATTCATCTTTGATTAATCATCAAGATTGAACAACAAGTATACATATTTACCATTTGGAAATTTTACTTCTATTCAACCATTCAATGAACAATTGAAATACCCCAATGTGTCAACAACAACAACAACAACAAAAGAAAAGAAAAGAAAAACAAACTTTAATTCTTCGGAAAAGAAACACCCAAATAATTGTCTATTATTGATTTGAAAATATAAATCAGTATTTTTCTTTATTCTATAAGCATATCAAAAATTTTGTTCCTGTAACATTGAATAAGTTATGTCTTTGTATTTTTTCTATTTGCTTGATGACAACAGCATACAAACAACAACGTAGATGTCATAAAAAAATGAGAAAAATTAAAACGGGAAAAAGAAGAGAATGGATAGGTTTATTTTATTCGTTCTTGTTTTTGTTTATTATTTGAATGCTCATCAAGTCGTGTTTTTTTCGCTTCTATGTGTTGTCATATGCATACATACATACATACATAAATACATACAACATACAGATATTTATGTATATTTGAATGCACCAATGAATGTTTCCTTTTTGTGAGTCCTTGTATGACTACTTATTTCCTTCACTAACAGTAATATGATCTAATCTACCAAAAAAGAATGCTATGATCATGTCACATGGAAACAACAATAAACGATTGAGTAAAAATCAAACTTTTCTTTTTCTTTTTGCATAAGATATTCCAAAGATAAAACAGGAAAATAAAGAATAATATATTTGAAGCATTAACACTTTCTGATTTGTTTTTATTAAACTTAATTTCACGAAAAAAATCCCTGATAGATAAGATCAAATATTTGATCTTTCAATATGATTGTCTATATATAAGATATACTCAAAAACATTTTAACTTATGAGTATAAGTGGTAAGTAATTTTGTAGGTATACTCTTCTATATATTGACCTTTTGAAATGAATTGAAATAATCTATTTATTGTTTTCATACTCTTTTTGTGACTAACATTCTATAAATAGCCTAGTGAATTAGATGAATTTAGTTTTCCTCATCTTATAGAATGGTTTGGATTTGGTTGAAGTTAGACATTAACACCGATGGAAATCGCCACAGTGGTTAAGCATTCGCCATGAGACCGGTAAGTCCTGGGTTCGAATTATCGCGAGGTGGGGTCGTGGATGCGCACTGCTGAGGAGTCTCACGCTAGGATGAAACAACCGTGCAGTGTTTCTAGGTTTTCCATGATGGTCTAACTTCTATTGACTCATGAATTCAACTATAAAATTATAGAAAATGATTTAGTTATAAGGAACTTTTCAAAAACTAAACAACATATTGCAAACCATTGTAGTTTAGTATCCAGTATATTTTTAAAATGTAATGTTATACTGTATAGACAGGGTTTTACACACTTTTCATCGAATATTTTTCATACCTAGTAATTTCGTTTAAGAAAACTAAGGAATAAGAACGACGCCTAATATGACCTTACATCACACTAAGGCCATCGACCATTTCGATGGAATGATAGACTGACAGCCAACGGAGAATTCCATTTAGTATTAATATGTATTCAAAGTGTTTTGTATATGTCTGTTTTATTACTTAATCTTCCTAATGTCGTTTATTATTATTATGCTTATTGATTTACCCATATTCATCTAGAAAACTGATTACCTTAAAATATTCTCTAGTTGATTCTGTAATCATCTTTAATTTTTCATTAAATTTGGTGTTATATTATGAAGTGTAAATTTGACCTAATCATTCTGAGACTTCTTTTATCAGTTAACATATCAATCAACATTTTGGAAATACTAGAAAACCAATTCTAATAGTTTAATCATATTAATACAGTGTATCTAGTCAAGTTGTATAATGCCATCTATGTTGTTTGTTTAATACTTTATTTGTTTACGTTATTACTCATCGGTGTCTAAGATGTACTAGAAGGTAATATTCGTCTATCCCCATCTTTTCATTTCCAGAGGATAATCTACTATGAAATTAGTCGACTGCGATGAAAGTATTAACATCATATTGAATGCTTTAATCACTAGTTAAATAAACATTAGAAAATATATATTGAATAAAATAGTCTTCTTGTAGACAACATAGTAAATAATCAACCACTGATAGGTATAGATAAATCCTAGGTAAATTCAGTAAACGAGTACCACTATTAATTTCTTTCAAAATGAAGTTATTAAAATACCTGTCAATGATTTGTTCTACATCATTATCATGGTTTAAGAATAATAAACTGTAAAGTATTTGGTAATAAACAGAACAGACTTAAAACACCTTCCCAAGAAAAGCATAGTAAAACTTCAGGCTTCGATTTTGTGAGAATGTTTGTTGTTTAATATATTGTCCATTTTGTTTGTGTCAAATAAACGTTTAGGCTCCATACATATGATTAGTTCTGTTAGACTGATTATTATTTTGTCAGTAAACTAGGTCGGATCTGTTAGAAGCAATATGTCAGTGATCAAACAATGGCCTCAATCTGGTTATGTATTATTACGGCTTATAGCAGATAAGTCTTGGTAATTTGAACGCTTTATTGGGTTCCTAAGCTATTCTGGTAACTCGCAAGCTAGAACTACGCAGCGACCTGAACTCGAGAGAAAAGGCGCAAAATATGCGAAAAACACTTTACTCCAAAGGTTCATTTTTGTACAGAAAAACACGGGTATTTATAGATGTTAACATTTGCTAAATCGACATCATATTTTTGGCCGATCCGCTAAAACACATAATATGCTGCTGACCAATAGTAACACGCCACGTTGATATTCTAGAAGCTCCATCATGCTCTGACTGGCCAGGACTCTTCGGCTCCTTTAGGGCCTCTGGAGGCTCCGTTGCAGTTTTCGGAAAACCGACTCAACAATAGCTGGCGGTCTGCTTGAATATCTGGGCTATTTGTTCCTTTATTCTAGTTATTTCAACAAGTAATATTGAATAAAGCCTTAATAATGATAATAATAATCATTATTATTTCTCAGTGACTTATTTTAATCAGTAGAACACATTTCAG